GAAACAAAGCTTTGACCATTGTCGGGACAAATACCCTGACAAGGGTATTTGCCGGGGTTTTTCAACGTCGCACGTTGTGCGACTCTTTCGTTGAATTGAGGGACTTGATGAGATTGGCGTTTGCCAAAGGGTGTTTGGACGAACCTTATGATTGAGGAACTTAAATTTTTTTTTTAGATCCTGACGTCATTGACGTATGACGTCATCTACATCCGATCAAAACGACAAGAGTCGACGGTACGATCTGTCGTTCGCGATTCCGACTAGTCCGCAGGGGGTTGCGGATGTGGAAAGGGTAAAATTAAACCTATCCTACCTAAAATAATGTCGCGCATTCAAGGCCTGAGTAGGCTGAAAAGAGGGATGCACCAGCTATAGGGCCGCAGCGCAGGACAAATAGGAAGAAGTTTTTATTTTTCTGGGCCGCGGAGGTCGACATCGAGCCAGGGGGTTGATAGGCCGATGCCGAGGTCACGTGGCCAACCGACAGGGTAAGACCTTTAGCAGCGAGGCTCGCAGAGCCACAAGTGGGCAGGACCTGCCCGAAAGCCTGTAAGGCTTCGGGCAAGCAGGCGGGGTCTGCAGGGCCGCAGGCAGGTCGGGCCTCGCAGGCTATAGGCGGGCGGGGCTTGCAAAGCTTCGGCATGGGGGATAGCAACTGGGCAAGCTCTTCCTATAGAAGAGCTGCTCCTGTCACTGTTGTGATAGGAGCTAGCCCAGTAGGATATAGTGCAGGACTCTTACCCAGCGGATACCGGGATCGAATCCGAGAAACTGCAACTACCGGGCTAGCTCCTTTTGGAGCAGCCCGTCCGTAAGGCAGACGAGCGCGGCCAATTTCGGCCACATGATCATCAAGATCACGCGGCGGAAATCAGCCGCGCCGTAATTTGCATGGCCCCTGCGCAAGGATGACACGCATAAATCGAAAAAAAAAAAAAAAAAAAAAAAAAAACTTACTTTAAATTCTTCCGAATCCATTAGGATTCGAACTCGGGTCTATGGCTTGAAAACGCGTGGCTGAAAAGCCACGAGGTGACTTACGATGTGACCGTTGGCATAAGCCAACGAGAAACTAAAACTAAAAGAAAAAAGAAAAAGAAAAAAACCTAAAACTAAACTAGGGTGAAGCGCCACATGGCACACTGTGAAGTGTCTGGGGCACTTCAATCCCCAGTGGTCGTGACAGGCGCCCCTTTTTACGGGCTGCCGTTTTCCTCTTCTTTTGTTTTTGTTCTTTTTCTTTTTTTATTTCTTATTTTGTTAGATTTGCTTTAGTTTGTATTTTTTTATTATTTGTTAGAAAATTAATAAGTGCCCGTTCGTTTTGACGAACGGGCTGCTTCTCCTTTTGATAGGAGCAAAATTGAACGGATCTGCCGCGAAAACGTGGCTACGTTCGACTGTGGGTTAGGGCCCTTGTACTTGAGTTACGAGGGACTCTCTGCACACGCTTTGGGTGGCTTCCAGTTCGTAGCGAGCGGTCGCGACTGTCGGGTTTGAGAGAGAGAGAGAGAGAGAGAGAGAGAGAGAGGGGGGTCCAGCACTGCAGGGTTCCCCCACCAAGACTGCGCCCGTTCGAAAATGGGCCACAGTGTAATTTGGTGGGCAGCTGTTGCGCCTAGATCAGGCACGAATTGCGTGCCAGATACACGCGCACGGCTGAAAGGGGAAAGAAGACCCTGTTGAGCTAGACTCTAGTTCGACTCCGTGAAATGACGGTGGGGGGCGG